TACATCTGCCCCCCCGTGGACCACAGGCTCCACCTCCGGGTCCGGCACCCCTTGGACGCCCGGCGGATGTGTGTCGGATGGCTGGGTGGGCAGGTGGACGATGGATGAACAGCACCTTTTTCTTTTTCCCAGGTGGCTTCTGGCATAGCAGCTTAATTGACCGAAATCTCATTGATTATTTTGTTCCCTTCCTCCCCCTGGAATACAAACACCTAAAAATGTGCATCAGAGTTGAAATGCAGTCCCGAGGCTTTGAAATCGATGAGGACATTGTAACCAAAGTGGCCGAGGAGATGACATTTTTCCCCAAAGAGGAGAGAGTTTTCTCCGACAAAGGCTGCAAAACTGTGTTCACCAAGTTAGATTACTACTACGACGACTGACTGCTTCGAGTTGGAGAAGGAACTCGGCACTTGGCTCCGTGCCCTGGAGGAGGACAGAGTAGATGCTTCCTGCTGGACCGAACGGGAACCTTCCTGAGCAGTTTTCATCCACCGGGGCCTCCGGGCGTCACCCCCTACAGATCACGGACCTCGGAACAGCCCCAGAGCCTTCCGAGGCGGTGGCAGCGGCCAGCTCCCCATCCACTCGTATGAGGGCTCATGATTTTTAAAAAAATCATGTTTTAATTTCAAGTGTTTCTGTTTCAAGGAAGGATGTCTAAGTTTTACTGAAAATGTGGTAACTTTATTTAAAATGTTTTTAACCTTATGAGAAACTTTTCAGACTCTATGTTATTGGCTTTACGTGTTTTTCGAAGTTCCCGTCACCATATCCTAGACATCGATGTCTTTACTGAAAAGAAGCCCAAGGCTGGGTCCTTGGCACATGGTCCCCAGGATGGCAGAACCGGGGACCAAGGCTGGAGCCGTGATCAGATCTGTCACAGGATGACCATCGCAAGGGGCAACGATGTGTTTGGATACAGGGAAAGTGTGTAAGAGGACACACGTGGGGGGGCGCCTGGGTGCCTCAATTAAGCGGCCGACTCTTGATTTTAGCTCAGGTCGTGATCTCGCAGTTCGTGAGTTTGAGCCCCGCGTCAGGCTCCTCACGGACAGTGCAGAGCCTGCTTGGGATTCTCTCTCCCCGTCTCTGCCTGTCCCCTGCCCATGCTCTCTCTCAAAAATAAATTTAAAAAAATTTATTTTTTTAAATAAAAATAATTTTTTTTTTAATTAGTACCAGTCTCTCACAGATAAGCCTTAAGGACCCTTTCCAAGGGTTTTGATCTCGGTAACATTGTGAACATTCGCGAGGGACAGTTTCCTTGCAATAAAAATATTTCCAGCTTGTCAGTTGCCATTCAGCTTTACAAAGGAAGACCCCTCCCGGCTTTCCATTCCTCAATGAGATATGTTGTCTGGCAAGTTTTGCCATATTTTTAAACACCATCCTCGTTACAGGTTTTGGTTGTTCAATGAGAATTCCCAAAACCTCTTAGGAAAGCGTAGCTGCCCCCTTCCCCACCCACCCCGATCCTGAGAACAGTATTTTTACTTGTAACTACAAAGAGCTACCATTTTACAATAAAATGGTGTGTAATTTGAAGATCTTTAATTTTTTTTTTTTTTCAACGTTTTTATTTTTTTGGGACAGAGAGACAGAGCATGAACGTGGGGTAGGGCAGAGAGAGAGGGAGACACAGAATCGGAATACAGGCTCGCTCTGGAGCCATCAGCCCAGAGCCGGAATGAGGCTCAAACTCACGGACCATAGTGACCTGGCTGAAGGATCAGACTAAGGTTAACAACCGGCCTCATCCCTCTTTCTTTTTAAAAAAATTTGTTTTCAATGCGTATTTATTTATTTTGAGAGAGAGAGAGGCAGAGTAGAGGAGAGGCAGAGAGAGGGAGACACGGAATCCGAAGCAGGCTCCAGGTTCCGAAGCCAGCACTCCACAGAGCCCAACGCTGGCTCGAATCAAGGTGACCAGCAGATCGTGACCTGGCTGAAGTCGGACGCTTAACTGACTGCGCCACCCAGGCGCCCCGCGAGTGCATCTTTAAAGGAGACAAAAGCCCGCTCGCTCGCTCGCTCTAGGTCACTGGTGCTTCAGCCACGAACTGAGACCTAAGAGGCGCAGTGCGGGCTGGAGTGAAGGCTCACGCGGGGAATCTGGATCCGTGCGGCTCTGGCTCTTTGCTCAGCTGCACCGGGGACCGCACTGTTGTGGGGTTCACGGAGCTCCCGACACCCAGCCGTGGGGTTCAAGTCTCGAGACACAACCCCAGCTGAGGCACCAGGCGGGCGCACAGGGCACAGGAGGCTAGACGGACCTTGGTGTTTGCAACGCGCCTGTGTGCCTGCTGGTGGGCGGAGCTCCTGTGGGGTGTGGCGCCCAAGCAGTGCTCACCAGCCCGTTTTTCTCAGGCCCAGAGGACTGGAGGGCCCCCTGCTGCCCCGGGACTCCTCTGCCTCCAGGTACCTGACCTGCACAGAGGCCCTTTAAGGGCATCCAGGCCTCCTAGGGACGGCTGCACGTGTTGGAAGGTTCTTGATGTGGATCAGAAGCTGGCCTGTTGTCCTGTCCCCAGGAGTCCCAGATGGGGCTCATCATTCTAAGCCGGCAGCCCCAGCACCTGGGAGTCCCTGGCTCGGGGAACACAGGAGTCCCCCGACTTAATTTGGCAAGTTCATTCTTTGTAGATGAGGCAGGACAGGCTGGAGCGGGAACCACTCTTGGCTGGAAACCAGATCCGGGAAATCCAGTCTCGGGACTTGACCACCTTCAACTGAGAGATGACGGGACTGGGTGGGATGTTGACGAAGAGGGTTTGAACTTTCTAGAAAGTAGCTGACTTGTCCTCAGTCCTGGAAAGAGGATTGGTGTTAACGATTCACTGACAGGAGGCCAGGTGCAGTGCGATCAAGCAGACCCTGGTTAGCTTAACTGGGGTTTCGCTGTTTACCAGTTCTGGTTTACTGATCTGAGCCCGGCCTGGTTCCAGTTCAGAGTGTCACCACGGAGTCAC